AGGCTTGCAATCCTCAAGATCAAACCTCTCAAGCACCTTTTGAATGTACCTTTGCTGAAACAGGAAGATGGACCTTGAATTGTGATCTCTCACAATGTTCATACTGAGGTAGTGACTTGGCTCACTGAGGTCGGTCATGGTGAATGCACTCATGAGAAAACCTTTGACATGGTTGAGAAGGGAGAGGGAACCTGAGACAAGGAGGAGGTCATCTACATATACCAAGAGCCAGATTGACTCCCCCTCACTCGTGTGCATGAAATACAAAGCGTTGTCTCTCATGGACGTTGTGAAACCGTGCTTGTTGAGGACCTTCTCAAGTGCATCATACCATACCCTTGGGGACTGTTTTAGACCATAAAGGGACTTGACCAAGTGACGCACTCTGCCCGTACCATCATCATAGCCTTTGGGTTGGGCCATATATACCTCTTCCTCCAAAACATCATAGAGGAACACATTCTTGACATCCATTTGGCAGATATGGGGACCAAGATATGCGGCTGGCTAGGAGATTTCGTACCTTGGTGTACTTGGCTACCACGGCAAAAGTTTCATTGAAATCCAAGCCTGGAATTTGGGAGAAACATTTTGTCACTAACCTTGCCTTGTACCTATCAAGGGTACCATCTCCTCGCACCTTAATCCTATAGACCCACTTCACACCAATGATCTTCTTCCCAGGAGGTGGTGGAACAAGATGCCATGTACCTCATTCCATGAGACTCTCAATCTCCTCTTTTTCGGCCTTTAACCAATGCGGACTCTCTTTACTCGCCATGGCCTCTCGACGACTTGATGGCTCTCGTGGAAGATGGGATGTTGCCATGCATATGGCTGCTACCCTTTTATGAATGCACTCCTCGCTATCTTCACATGTGCACCTTGACATGCCAACCATGAATGTGAACGGCTTCTTGAACTTCCGGACTCGTTTACCTTTACCTAACTCCTCACTTGGCTGAGACACTTGTGAGGTGGCGCTTGCTCTCTCACTCCTTGCTTGAGTTGGAGTGGTAGCTGGTGGTATAGGTGACGCTTGTGACACCAGCTGCTGCATCAGGGCTACGGGGACTCCTCCTTGGATGTCACTTCCTTGGGCGTTGGTGTTGACTTGGACCGGAATAGAAGTTGGGTCATTCGGCGGTGGAGCTGTAACGATTGGTGGATGAGATGGTTGTGGTGATGCTCTCGGTGGGGACCTTGAGACTAGGAGCTTGGGAATTGATGGTGATGTTGGACTGTTGGGTGGTGGCACTAGTTGCTGCGGGCTAACGCTTCTTGATGGTGACGAACTTGACGACGACCGATTCCGGGACGCGGTGGTGAAGTTGAAAGTGGTCTTGGATGAAGAAGTGGGCTGTTGAAGCTGGTGTTGGTGGTGACTCGTTGAAGAGATCCTCGTACTAGAAGCTGGCTTGAAGTTGGAACTTGAAGGGTGGAACGGGTAGGCGGATGAGACGATGGAATAGTGGCGACGGTTGGCTTGGAAATCGGCTGAACTTGGGCTGATGGTAAGATGGGACTTGTAGATGTTGACGGCTGCTGCACGAGAGGTTGATTAGCTGCTGAAGTAGTCTCTGGAACAATGGTTGATGGTGGGTTTGATGGTGTCGATGACGGCTGCTCCGGTTGAGGTAGGGCTTCGACACTTGGTGTTGGTGTAGGTGGCTGGTTTGTGACGGTGAGCTGCTTCTTGGTTGGCGACGGTGAAGAGGTGACTTGCTTGGGTGGAAGGTCTTCAGTTGGTGGCTGATCCTCTACTGCACGTGGACGGGTAGTTGCTGGTGGCGATGGTGCGGCATGGCTGGTCTCCTTCGAAGCAACTTGAGGTAGAGCGGTGACGGGTCCACTATGGTCCGAGTTGGTGTCGTCCTCTTCCTCCTCTTGTGCTTCTTCTTCACCATTGCTTGCTGATCCCTGCTGGATAAGGGGTGGAAAAGGGGACAAAGAGGATATTCGTGCCAATCTGCAAGGGACATGTCTTCATAAAAGACAACGTCCCTTGAAACAATCTCTCGCTTGGTGATGGGATCCTAAAGGATCCATCCTTTGCTCTCCTTACTCATGCCAATGAAGGGGCCTTGCTTTCCAGCTTGAGCCTCTTGGCATCTGGAACACGGTATTGAGCCATGGAACCAAACACATGAAGCATAGACAAATCTGGCTTACCTCCAAACCAAGCTTCATATGGCGTCACTCCATCTGGTAAGGGCTTTGAAGGCCTCCGATTTCTTACATAGATAGCCATAGTGATAGCCTCTCCCCAGCGAACCTTATCAAGACCCTTAAATTGAAGGAAAGTAGTAGCAATAGCCTGAATGGTGCGTTGAAATCTCTCAGCCACTGCGTTTTGTTGGGGACTATAAGGACAAGTAAATTGCTGCTTTATGCCCGATGCCATTAACTCCCCCTGGAATGTTTTTCCCATATACTCACCACCTCTATCTGACCTTAATGTCATGAGTCTCTTACTAGACTCTCTTTCAACAAGCGCTAGCCAATGCTTGAAACACTTGTGCACTTCATCCTTTGTGTTGATGAAATAGGACCATGAAAACCGACTCTTGTCATCAATGAAAGACACCAAATATCTCTTACCTTCTCAAGTAGGATCTCCCATAGGTCCAAACACATCAGTGTTGACAAACTCCAAGAGGTCTAATTACTGAGATTTAGAAGGAAAGAAAGGTTTGCGTGCTAACTTACCTTCGACACATGATGGACATGGGACGGACGAAAGAGACTTGACTGCACTTTCACTCAATGACATACCTTCCACACTCTTGTGACTCACTAACTCTTTTAATTCTTGCATTCCCAAGTGCCCCAAACGTGCATGCCATACCTCAGCAAGGAAACTACTCCCTTTGTTGCTGTTTGGGTCGGTGGAGACAGCGGGAAGTGAGACAATTGATCTCCAATTTCATATTGTAAAGCCGACCGGTGCGCTTGCCTTCAGCCACGAGGTTTCCTGCACTATCCCACACTCTGGCTTTCCCCCCTTGCAAAAGAACAGAGGCACCTTTCTCTTCAAGTTGCCCGGCTGAGAGCAAATTTGCTCCCAAATCAGGAACAAACAAAGCTTTATTGACACAAAATTGCTTACCATCTTTCTCAAACTCAAGCTTACCGATGCCTTTGATGGGGATTTTCCCAAGATCAGCAAGGGTGACTACCTTGGAGTCATGGGAGGGCTGAAAATAACTGATAATAGACTGATATGGAGTCATGGTTTCGGAACAACCACTATCCAAAATGAATTCCTCACTAGTGGTGGTAAAAGCATGCATACAAGTGGTGCGTTGAAGAGAACCGGATCGCCACTTGTCTTATTTGACTCTTCTTGATTTGACTAAAGACTTGCTATATTTGCAATAACTGACTTACCCTTTTCCGACAATAGCTGAGGTGGAG